AACTGGCATAAAAATGGAGAAAAATGCTCCCAATACTTTTGCAAATTAAAGAAGAGTAACTGCATTAAAAAGACAATGGCAGAATTGATTGATGACCAAGGTAAACATATTTCTAAACAGTCAAGCATTCTTTTTGAACAACAGAAATTTAATAAAACTCTGTATTCAAGCAGAAGATCTGACTGTCAAGAAAACTCTTTTTATAACCATAATGTTAAACTCATACAGGAACAAAGTGATCTGTCAGGGTAACTCATACTTGCCAACCTCTGAAACCTTCAATGAGGGAGATCTCCCCCCTCAGCTATGACAGCTGAGGGGGGAGATTTTGCACTAACGACATTTTCAAGCTAAATATATAGATATAAGAAGATGTGGTATGAGTGCCAATGAGACAACTCTCCATCCAAGTCACAATTTGTAAAAGTAAACCATAATAAGTCAAAGAACGGCCTTCAACACGGAGCCTTGGCTAACACCGAACAGCAAGCTATAAAGGGCCCCAAAAATTACCAGTGTAAAACCATTCAAACAGGAAAACCAACGGTCTAATCTATATAAAAAACGAGAAACGAGGAACATGACCAGTACACTTATTTGTCTACAAAACACTAATTAGAGATAATAAATATACTTTATTTCTTCAATTCATTGTTTAAATTTATACAAGTTTTTTTTGCCTTTTTCAATAACTCTGAGTCAGGACAATTATCAATACTCGTAACATTCCATATTTTGATTTTGTTGTGAGTCTCACACTAAGCATGTTTTTAAACGTCATACTGACCCGACCAGAAGCAATCGAAAAGTTGATTGAACATGATGTGCAAAATTAAGATTCATTGCCGAGTGTACTCTGGTGTACAAAAATCGAAAATCTTTTATCCAATCTGCTTGAAATTTGCAGTTATATTTCTTCTTTTTTACACTGCAGCTTGGTCCAGACAAAGACATCTATCTTGTTGGATTTCGATAACTTATAAATCATACATAAAAACTACAGACCAAAGTTTTCAAATGATCGCCGATTGTTTGTTTATTTCTATTGAAAGTAAAGAAAGATCCTGAGAAATACGAACGTGGGTCATTCCGGTTAAGATATCTGAAAAGGAGATTCTATACTCCCGCGCGGGAGCGGACCAGCAAGCGGGAGATTTCCTGAATTTAGTCGATTTTGCGGGAGACTCTGGCTCAAAACAGGAGGGTTGGCAGGTAGGGGGTAACTTGCCATTTGATGAATGTGCTTTTGCACTGAAAAATGTGATAAATGGCAAAAGTCCTGGTTCAGATGGATTTACAGTCGATTTTTATAAATTTTTCTGGAGAGATCTAGGTCCATTTGTATATCTTTATATTTTAGGTATGAGCATAGAAACTTTTCAAATTTTCAATATCATAGTGTCATTACTTGTATTCCAAAAGAAGGAAAAGATAGGAGATATATGAGTAATTGGCGACCCATCAAATCACTGAATACAGACATCAAAATAGCTTCAGCAGCTATAGCTAACAGACTCAAACCAGTATTGCCATTTATAATGAGTGATACTCAGAATGGTTTATAAAAGTTAGGTTTATTGGGGAAAATATTCGCTTATCATATGATTTGATACGCTATCTGAAAGAGCATAATAAAACCGGTTTACTGTTAATTGTTGCTTTTGAGAAAGCATTTGATTCTATTGAGTGGAATTTTCTAGTCAAAGCTCTTAAAAGCTTTAATTTTGGATATGTGCAAATGGTTTGAGACTCTCTATTCAAAAGCTAAAAGCTGTGTAATAAATAATGGAAACTTATCAAACTTCTTCAATCTTGATAGAGGCTGTAGACAGGGAAATCCGCTCTCCCCATATTTATTTAATTTTGGTGTTGAATTATTATCCCTAAAACTTAATCTACATCTGACATCCATGATATTCTTATTCACAACAAAGAATTATTGTTGAGCCAGTATGCTGATGACACATCTCGTTTTGGATGGAAATAAAAAAAATCTCTAGAGGAGACTTTAAAATGCTTTGATTCTTTTCACAGAATATCAGGACTAAAAATGAATGCATCTAAGACAAAATCTATTTGGATTGGAACAAAAAATTATTCAGACAATATACTTTGCCCTGATTATAATCTTCAATGGGCAAAGTCAAATTTCAAACTTTGAGGAATAGATTTTTCATTAGATAACAAGCTATGTTAGATATAAATTTCACAAAGAAAATCAAAGAAATGTCATCAATACTTAAGGCTTTGGAACATCTCAAAACTACTGGGTAAAATTACTGTTATCAAGACTCTGGCATTACCAAAGATAATTCATTTGCTTACAGCTTTACCAAATCTATCCCAGATTAAAATTAAAGAGTTAAATACACTTTTTTATAACTTTACTTAGAATGAGAAATTAGAACGTATAAAATGTAATACACTGATTGGCGATTTTATGCAGGGAGGTTTAAACATGAATCATTTGTCATCTTTTAGTACATATCTAATAAACAGCTGCGCCATGAGCGCATGATACGCCCGTCGTCTTGTGTGCGAATTTTTATGCAATAAGCATAAACCGTTTCTGACATAGGGCGTGACATGCGAAAACCCCCCCTTTTTTTTTACAAAAAACTCAATATCTCTAAAATAAAATTTTGAATCAAATCCAAAAAGTATACAGATCTTTAGATTAATATAACTAAGAAGTGTGTAAAATTTTAAGCAATAATCATAAATTGTTTTTGAGATACGGTGCGACATGTGAAAACCCCCCTTTTAAAAAAAAAAAATCATTATCTCAAAAATTAAATTTTGAATCAAAACCAAAAAGTATACAGATCTTTAGATTAATATAACTAAGAAGTGTGTAAAATTTTAAGCAATAATCATAAATCGTTTTTGAGATACGACGCGACATGTGAAAAACCCCTCCCCCTTTTTTTACAAAATACTCAACAACTCAAAAATTAAATTTTGAATCATCACCAAAAAGTATACAGATCTTAAGGTTAATATAACTAAGAAGTGTGTAAAGTTTTAAGCAATAATCATAAACTGTTTTTGAGATACGGCGCGACATGTGAAAAACCCCTCCCCCTTTTTTAACAAAAAACTCAATATCTCTAAAATAAAATTTTGAATCATCACCAAAAAGTATACAGATCTTAAGATTAATATAACTAAGAAGTGTGTAAAGTTTTAAGCAATAATCATAAATTGTTTTTGAGATACGGCGCGACATGTGAAAAAAAACACACACCTGTTTTTAGTTACTAAGTCCAGTAACTCAAAAAGTTTTAATTTTATATTCACCAAAAAGTATACAGATCGTTTGACCATCATAAGAAACAACTATGTTAAGTTTCATGAAATTTTGATAAGTCATTCTCAAGTTACGGTGCGACATGTTTACGCCGGACAGACAGACGGACAGATGGACAGACGGACGGACAGACAGACGGACGGATGCCGGACATTTGTATACCATAATACGTCCCGTCAAAAATTTGACGGGCTTATAAAAATCAGCTGGGTTAGAAAATTTCTTTTGAATTTAGATGGATCATGGCAGACATTATTACTGTTGGAGTTAACTAAATTTGGTGATGACAGAGTCTTTTATTTTGCTTACATACAGCAAAGCCTAATACTAAGACATGAACAAATGATATATTATCGCGAGATATTTAAAATTTTGTGCCACTCTATATGCAATGGAAGGACTGATGTCTTAAAAAATTTAATCACAGACTGAACCTAAATGTTGATGCGGCTGATGATGGAATGTAGGATCACTATGTCTCGCTTTCGCGACATAATTGTTGCAAGCTCGACAAAAAGATATAGTTTAATGTACTTTTCTTTCAAATAAAGGAGATAATTAGCTACTTCCCATTTCCAAAAGATCATTTCCATGTCATTTGAAAGGTAACTGTATGCTGATTCTAAAAAAAATATTGTTTCTGAGTACTTCTCCCTTGAATTCGTACAAAAATGGCTACTTCTGGTTTGCAAAAGGTCACATACGGTTAATTTTTTTCAAGGTCATATGTGACCTAATCCTTTGCAAAAGACATTATGGCTTTATCATGTACCAGTATGAAGTAATAATCAATTACAGGTAACCTAACTTTTAACCTTTTCAGGGGCAATAACTCCTATAAGATGTCCATCTCTTCTCATTAACTTAACTTTGTATTATTTGTAAAACCCACCACCATAAGTAGCCAGAAGTGAAATTTCCCACCCTTTCATATATCAATGTTTCAAAATAATAAAATGTATAAAATGTGACATCAAATTTCTAGTTTTACTGAGAAGAAAAACAGCGAACATGAAGCCTGGTTTCCAAACTTTATGGGAGTTAGATTACAGTGAAAACACTTTTACATTTAAATAAGCCTCAAAGTGCAATGAAAGTGAGCTACAGTGACATTAAATTACAATCATGGATTTTGTCCAGAAAGCTATTTATTGAAGACACAGGGTTTCACTCAGTATTTCCGAACTGAATGGCTAACCGTGTAATATGTTGGTATTTGGAGAAGGATAACATAGGTAATATTGAGTGTCAACATTTTCTGGGTCATTGGTAATAGCTTCATGCATCTAAATAAACTCATCATAGATACCAGATAACATTCAACCCTCATTGAAAAAGTAAAAAAAACTATTAAATTGTCTTGTGCACAAATCACTAATCTTCGTTTCAATATTTCACAATTACAAAAATTCTTACCTCAATGATAAAACTTGTTTTAGCCTGTGCCACCGTAAAACGTAAAACGGAAAAGAGCCCACAGTTTGCACATAAACAAGGTATTTCAGGATAACAGGCACCTGTGTTTAAGGTATTGAAAAGTATTGTGTTTATGAAATGAACAGATGTTTGTGTGCTGACCATTACTATGACATAATACAGTAGTGAGAGAAAATATCACAAATCAAGTAATAGTTAGAGTAATTATCTTAAAATTTTATTATTCCCTGATGAAATGGAAAATGTGGAATACCTGAAGCTGAAATGACTGTCCTACAGTATGATGTAACATTAGCTGCTATTTCTAGGTACGTCAGTAGTAACTCCACTCCAATATCTCTTCCTTCCTGTGGACTCTCAAAATTCTTCCACTGCTTATTCAATTTCTCAGATAAACAGAATTTAGGGAAAAGGGATATCATCTGACGTTCAATCTGCATCTTATGTGCCCTGAACTCAATGGCTAAAGTGTCAAAGTCATTAAATTCAACATCAGGTACACCTGGAAAAAAATAAGATATGTGAGCTATAGCTCACTAATAACACCCACATTAAAGATATCATTTTTTTACTAACAGGATGTAGAACATTGAATGAATTGAAAAAATGTTACATAGATGGCACAACCAGATGAAGCTAAGTGCCATATATCAAGAAGCTATGACTTGCAGTTGATTACAAAATTATGACAATACTTCCATATATGTGAATGACATTTTAAAGATACAAGTTGGTGGAAAACAGATCAAAGGAACTAAACATGACAAACAGTATGTTCGTATGATTTGTTACATTAAGTGTTGTATGTAACAAAATCTAACGAATCATAAGTGTGTTGTTTTCATCATTTGATTATGAAATATTATCCTGCACATGTACCATTTCATTGTTTACTGGGCCACCGATGATCCTCTCCAGTACTGGACTCTCGTACAATTTACCTGCCAATTTTTTGAAAATCTCTATGTGTTTTTTGTGTCTTCTTTTTTCTTATGGAATACTCCTGATGAACTATTGAGCCTATTTTTCCTCTTTTATTACATGCACTATTCTTGTACTTTGTTAAAATGTTTAGAAAAAATACAAGAATACCAGCAAAATGTTTTTAAAAAGATTTTTAAGGCAATTGGCTGTCTTAAGTAGTTCCTGAGGGAATGAAACTTCAATGTTTATTTTCAAAGTAAGGAGAAAGCATCAGGTTGAATTGCCTTGAGATGAACTTGTGTCTTCTTTACTGTTGAGAATAGAAATTCACAATATTGGTCAGTAGAGGAAGTTACTGACATGCTTGGAAGCTTTCTGATCCCGCCAGTCAATGTACCAATTCAAACTTTTGAGCGTGGAAATAAAATGTTTGGTCAGTACTTTCAACAGTGCGGAAAGGATTTTTCCAGTTATAAAGAGGCATAACTCAAGAACAGAAAAAGTGATTGTACAAAACAGCAAATTCACCAATTTTTCAATTTATAAAGGACATTACTCAGGAACAGTAAAAGTGATATCACCCAAATCGAACTTGATCGGTGTTTGGTGATAAAAGAAAGTCAAATTGCGAGTTAAAAAAGTCTAATTTAAATGAAAAATAAATACATTTTATCACTATTAAATAAACTGCTAGCCGTTAAATCCTGAATGAAAGGCTTCAAGTTTTCTTTTGAAAATAAAATTGATTGATTGTTGGTGTTTAAAACCGCTTACAGCAGTCTAGGATATATAATGGCAGTCATTATTAATTGGTAGAGGAGGCCAGATTACCTGGTCAAGAGACAACCATGATCTTTGGGAGGAAAACTGGCAATTCTAGTCAATTAAGATTGGATGTCAAGGACAGATGGAAACTTCATAACATACAAGACAAAATGTGAAAAAATTCCTCAAGCATTTCCATAATAGCAGGTGCACAACTTCAACAAGTTTGCAATCTGTCTGTGAAGTTTCCAGAGTTTGGATCGAAAACTGTACGAAAAGGTGATTACATATAAACGGGTAACATCTGTTTTAAATTTTGCTGAAAAATGACTAAGTTCCCATGTCTGGCAAAATGAGGAATAAATAGAGAGGTGTCTCCCCATTTTTGTTATTTTGATAGTATAATGCAAATGTTGAAATCAAAATGACAATATTTAAACATGTTAACTATGCATATCATTCAAAGTCAATAAACTATGACTGAAGGTGCACGGCTAAATAACCTTCATGGACATGAAAAATGCCAATGCTTATTTAACTGCATATCAAATACCATTGACTTATAATAAGTGGTTCCCTTTAAACTGACCTAAACAAAAACTTTAACTTGTAAACCAAGCTTTATTTAAAGAACCATAATGTGGGGTGGGGCCATATAATATACATGAGACTTGCAAATGCTAATACAACTGCATACCATATCATTGACTTAAATTAAGTGTTCATCTTAAACTAATTTAATCTGTAAACTATGCAAAACGTTCAGTCACTATACCAAGACTTGAGGGGGTGGAGCCAAATAATCTCCATGGAAATGAGATGTGCCAATGCTAATCCATCTGCATACCAAATATCAATTACCTACCATTATTGGTTCCCCACAAACTAATATATTGTTGTTGACACCAAGACCTGAAACAGCTTGCTTTTTCTTTTTTTTTTCAAATAGGAAATTTGGAACTAATAATTTTGAAAGGAACATCACAGCTTGTGTTTTTATATTATCACTGTACAATCAAGCATATCTTGAAATATTAGATGATAGTTAAATCAGAGCATTCGTCTCTTGCAACAACAGTTTGGGTCTGGGGAACTATAGAAATTGTGGTTTACCGGCATTTTTTGTGCAGGGGTACAAAACTGCATGATTCATACTTTAGTAATTTTTTTTCATCAAAATTTGAACCCTACTTTGAAGTACCAAAAAATGCATTATTTTTTCCTACCTCTTGACTGGGCTCTAGCTATCACAGCAGTTGTCAAAGACAACTCCTTTAGCGCTTGAAGATCTTGTGGTGGCAGTCTGTCTCTTAAAATGTTAAGGAATATTTCTCCATGGGAAAAAACAAACTGCAACACCTGAAAACAATTTAATGAACATGGAGTCTACAATAACTTATTGAGGCTTGTATAGTCCGTGGTGTTTTTTTCCAAAATTAATATTGCCAGGCAGGGGTGTGGATTATAGAGTACAATAAGCAAGAAATAAGAGAAAAACTCAATTTCTCGAGGTTTGTTTGAATTCTAAAATTTATAAAAATGGAAAGGGAGCTCACATCAATAGATATAAACAATTCGCCAAAGTTTGTTGCAAATTGGCGAAAGCATATTTGAGTTATCGTCGGAAAACTGGAAAACCCCCCTTTTTTAACGAATAAAACACCATAACTCGGAAACATAAATTCTAAAATTTATAAAAATCAAAAGGGAGCTCATGTCAATAGATATAAACAATTCAACAAAGTTTCATGCAAATTGGTCAAAGCCTTTATGAGTTATTGTCCGACATGTTGACGACAAACAGACAACGGTATACCATAATACGTCCCGTAAACGGGCGTATAAAAATTACTACTAGTCAGAAATCATCAGGTAAGGACAATAACTCCTTAACGGGTCATCCAATTGTTTAAGTCTTATTGACATTTTTGTAGGTTGTATGGCTGATAATTCTTGTTATTTACAGTTTCTATTATCTATCATACTTTTCGAGATAATTGGAAAACACAAATTTTGTCAAAAATTGTCATTTAAGGTATTCTGGTAACAGATATGTAAATGAGTAATCAGTGATTTTTATGAAATTTTGAAAGCAACAACAGCTAGTTGAACTGCATATGAATATAAAAGAAAATGATATGAGTAACTTTTATACTTTCTGAGATAAAACAAATTGAATATTCTTTAGAAAGAAGTACACATGTATAAGGTGCAAGCAAGTATCGCAAAAAATATGCTGTAATTTGTCTTCTCAAAAACCTGACCTGCAAATTGCTAATTCAAAGTCACTGGACCATGACCTAGGGGGAAGGGCCTCAAAACAGTCATCACACTGATATGTACTGATAGTAATGCTACTTTATAGAAAATATCATTGATCTACCATAAGTAGTTCCTATCAAACTAACTTAAGCAAAAAACTTAACATGAAAAATTGCTTATTAATTGAAAGTTGCTGGACCATGACCTAGGGAGCAGGGCCTTGAAATAATCGTCAAACTGATAAGTCCTGATAGTAATACAACTTTAGAGAAAATATCATTGATCTATCACAAGTAATTCCTATCAAACTGACTTAAGTAAAAAAACTTATCAAATGTTGACACCATCTTAGTCATAAAAGCAACACCTATGTCTTGCTTTCTGCTAGGAAAGGTGAGACAAAAAACCAATGGATATTTGCATGCAGTCTTATTTTTTGACTGAACAAAATCTTTGCCAGGATCATTTGTAGGCATAATTTGAAGAAATAATGTAGCAACGAAAACGTGATAACATATATTTATCCACAAGAGTGCACACGCTGAAATGTCTCGACTTCTTTACTAACCATTGATTTTATGTTGATAGTCCTAAATACAAAGCTTTACTACAAGTAACACATAAACTTAACATGATCCAAGACAATGAGGTCAAGGTCAGATAAACCAAACGAGAAATACATGTACACCTTACAATCATTCAATAAACCAAACATAGTTGACCTATTGCTTATTGTTTCTAAGAAACAGTCTTAAAGAAGAAAACTTAACATTGACCAATGTACCATAAAAATGATGCCAATGTCTAACGAACCATGCCAGACAGACATGTACACCTTACAATCAATTTAGGCATTAAATATAGATGACCTATTGCTTATAGTATCTAAGAAACAAACTTAACCATGAAAACTTAACATTGACCAATGAACCATGAAAATGAGGTCAAGGTCAGATGATACCGGCCAGACAGACATATACACCTTACAATCCTTCCATACATCAAATATAGTTGATCTATTGCTTATAGTTAAAGAAAAACAGACCAAAACACAAAAACTTAACACTGAGAAATGAACCGTGAAAATGAGGTCAAGGTCAAATAAAACCTGTGAGACTGACATTTACATCATAAAATATTTCCAAACACCATTTATAGTTGACCTATTGCATATAATATTAGAAAAAAAGACCAAAACTCAAAAACTTAACTTTGACCACTGAACCATAAAAATGAGGTCAAGGTCAGATGACACCTACCAGTTGGACATGTACACCTTACAATCATTCCATATACCAAATATAGTAGACCTACTGCTTATAGTATATATATAGACTTGACCACGAAAACTTAACCTTGTTCACTGATCCATGAAATGAGGTCGAGGTCAAATGAAAATTGTCTGACGGGCATGAGGACCTTGCAATGTACACACATACTAAATATAGTTATCCTATTACTCATAATAAGAAAGAAATTAACATTACAATAAATGTAGACTTTTTTTTCAAGTAGTAACTGAACCATGAAAATGAGGTCAAGGACAATGGACATATGACAGATGGATACTTCGTAACATAAGGCATCTATATACAAAGTATGAAGCATCCAGGTCTTCTAGCTTCTAAAATATAAAGCTTTTAAGAGGTTAGCTAATGCCGCCGCCGCCGTAGCCGACAGAAAAATTAATTTAAATTTCCATCTTGGAAGACACATGTTGAAATGAAAAACATTGATACAAACGGCTGTTGAACCCACGTTGCTCTAGGGAAGAAGCTATTAATTATTACCTGGGCTTGTATGAAGTTTCAACTGTATTTGTTCTATTGTAAACAGTTTGATTCCACAATGCATAGCATAGAAACACATTTCATAATATGCTCCATGACTGTGTCAATTTTTTTCTGTCATACAATTTCATTACTAAATTGATTTTAAAATATCAAAATACAAGGCTGATGCCTTGAGGCATTGTTTGGCAGGCGCCAGAGAATAATATTTCCATTTGACTGTGAGAAGATGAAATAAATACGGTTGACCTACATGGAAGGCCTGTTACGAATGATTCCGACAATAGAAACAGGCCTGTTATACACCATTTGGTAGATAATTTAATGTAGATTTTTAACATAACAAGTTTCAGTGGGATGGACAACAGCGGAATCGAAATATAACGGAAGTTCACGACTGGGTGACATTTCTCAAATATATGAGTTAGGTACCTTGTGTTATATTAAAGTATATAGGTAATTATTTTTCAGAGACAAGTGCCTGTGCAAAAACTTTATTTTTCTGACCTCCAAAAAATTCATTCTTGAAGATACTTGGTCATCTTTATTCCAGAAATTTAATGTGCTACTGTATACTAAAATCATATCATCAGCACATTAAATTAAATGCTTTGAACCCATTCCATTATTAATGACTACATGAATCTTGCACATACATAGATACATACCTGATTCCCAGCATCCTGGTTCTCTATACCACAAGAGGTAAGTATAGCCAGACAGAGTTTTAGACAGGCAAATAGTAACAGTCTATACCTGGCCATGGGACTAGGAATAAACTCATCTTGTGTCAGTCCTAGTTCATTCTGTAACCTTTTGCATATAAAAAGACATTATCTATCACGAGATAGTATGTATCATTGCAACATTTATTAAAAGAAACAAGGACAAATAAAGAAACAGTAGTCTAAGGATCATAAAGAGCTGTTCACTTACATGCTCTAGTGCAAGAAGCTCCATAAAATATATTAAAGAAAATTTAAAGGATAACTTCGTTTTCATGAGTGTCAATATATAATGTCAATCAAAGTGATTGAAAATCACTGATGGTAAGAGTTGTGGGCATAATATCAGACCATATTTAAGTATTAGGTATGTGAAGAACAAAAAAAAACATAATATAGTACAACTGTAAATTAAGATGTTTTTTCTGATGTTTTTATTATTGCGAAAAAGTGTGACATGGTAGATTTCACAAAAGATAAAATAAGCCTTTCAGGTGCGGATCCAGGATTTTGAAAAGGGTTTAAAATCCCATAACTCCTTTAAAAATTGTCAAATCAAAATGACAGTATGATCACATGATGGCAAACAATCCTACAAAGTATGAGAGATTTCTGTCAAATGGTTTCAGGGGAGTAACATTCACAACTTGACACTGTTACAACAATAAACAAGAGTGCACATACTGAAATGTCTTGCCTGTTATACTTATTGCATTCATGTTGAAAGTCTAATATGAAATGTGAAGGTTTTACTTAATATGAAGGTTTTAATAAAACAGTATCACATAAACTTATGTTCTATGAAATTGAGGTCAAAGTCAGATGAACCCTGCCAGACAGACATGTTCACCTTACAATGGTTCCATACACAATATATAATTGACCTATTGCTTACAATATCTGAGAAAAAGACCAAACCACAAAAACTACATGTTGTCCAATAAACCATGAAAATGAGGTCAAGTTCAGATTAAGCCTGCCAATTAGACATGTACACCTTACAATCATTCCATACATTAAATATAGTTGATTTGATTTGATTTTTTGGTGTTTTAACGCCACTTTTAAGCACTGCTTTTGGGCTATTTCGTGGCGACCAGTTTTTATTGGTTGAGGAAGCCAGGAGTGCCCGGAGAAAACCACGACCTTCGATAGGAAAACTGACAATCCTAGTCAATTAAGATTGGAGTCGAGTGCACCTGCACGAGCGGGGTTCGAACTCACAACCTCAGTGTTGACTGGCTAGTGCTTACAGTAGTAACTACTTAGACCACTCGGCCACCGAGGCCCTGTAAATATAGTTGACCAAATGCTTATAGTATCTGAGATATGGACTTGACCATGTAACTTTAACCTTGATCAAAGATCCATGAAATGAGAAAGCGGTCAGGTGAACCCTACCTAACGGACATGTGGACCTTGCAAGGAACCCATATACCAAATATAGTTATCCTATTACTCATAATAAGTGAGTATTTCACTTGACAAAAAAACTGAATTCTTTTTTCAAGCAGTCGCTGAACCATGAAAACGAGGTCAATGCAATTGGACATATAAATGATGGAAACTTTGTAACATAAGGTATCTGTATACAAGGTATGAAGCACCCAGGTCTTCTACCTTCTGAAATATAATGATGATGATGAATGGCTGCTTAACGTCCAGTGGCAAATTAATATGCATATTCAGAATGAGAACATGTAGTCTGTTGTTATTTATGTATTATTGACATTTTGTTTATTTTCTTTTGTTTCCTATTCTGACATCGGACTCGGACTTCTCTTAGACTGAGTTTTACTGTGCGTACTGTTGTACGTTTGTTTTTTCTACATTGGCTAGAGGTATAGGGGGAGGGTTGAGATCTCAAAAAACATGTTTAACCCCGCCGCATTTTTGCGCCTGTCCCAAGTCAGGAGCCTCTGGCCTTTGTTAGTCTTGTATCATTTTTAATTTTAGTTTCTTGTGTATAATTTGGAGTTTAGTATGACGTCCATTATCACTGAACTAGTATACATATGTAACCAATAGGGGCGCACAGTTGGGACTCTTGTCTTGGCTCCCTAAAGGTTACGGGGTCATGATTTTATTTGTAAAATCATTAGAAAAACAATTAAACTATGACGGTCACCAATATCAGGAACTAGTTGTTGCAGTTCACGAAGATCCAACACATTCAAGCTATATAATTTAATTCCAAGCCAAAGTACTAATATAACATATACAAAGGACAATGTCAATATAATGTGACTCCTACTGTATCTTACTCAATGTTCTACACTTCTTCGGTACTGATTTCACAAAGTTTACAATAAATATTTATACTAAATATTGAAAATAGACAATACTCAATTAACATGACAATACTCAAATTAAAATGACATTTCATAACTTTATGCTATAAGTGACAGCATTCACATTAATTAATATAAAAGATAATTATAATTTATAATACTCATATATAATTTCATTCTTTCAATAATTTTCACACCTTTAGTACGAATTAATGTCTTACATATTAATTTCTGTATTTCAATAAATAAATAAATCTGTCACATATATTTGAACATTAAATGTCACTAATTAAGATTAACACATTATTTGTCTATACATGTAAATATTTGAATTTGTAAATAATATCTTTTCCAAAGTCCAATTTCTAAATAAATGATAAAATCAGAATTAAGTCCAAATAAGCCTGGTGACACATATTTGGTTAGGGGCCAGCTGAAGGACGCCTCCGGGTGCGAGAGTTTCTCGCTGCATTGAAGACCCATTGGTGGCCTTCGGCTGTTGTCTGCTCTATGGTCGGGTTGTTGTCTCTTTGACACATTCCCCATTTCCATTCTCAATTTTAATGTAGTATGAATATTAAATCTGCTTTGAACTAACCAGACCAACACTCGAGCCGGATTTTTAATATGCTAGCTCGCAAGGTAAGAGCCCGCAGAAAGAAATGTCACCATACCCAGACACATTATTCTGACTCCGAGCCTACCAGTCTTTGCTCTTACTCCTTAATGTCACGTGACTAGCGGAGATGCAGCAAATACCAATTTAAAGTCTTTGGTTTGACCTGGTCACTCGAGGCGAACACGCTACCAGACCACCGAGGTGGTATCCTTCAGAAATATAAAAAATACAAATAGTTTACGCCGTCGCCAGATTGTTATCCCTATTGCTTCCATGACAAAAAAAAAAAAAAAGGGACCAATCAACATGGTGGTACAATATCTTTGTCCTTCATATAGTAACTCACCACCTGTTTCATCATACAATTGATTTTCTATGAAAGATTTGTACCACTAGTATCTATCCCCTTTAGGTGATTCAAGTTTAGTGATTGTCTGGAATATATCCTAATTGATCTGCATATTCAAACAAAGGTCAGATAAAACTAAAGTAAATTGTTCAAATTTGCAATTTATATTTGAATCCCTAGTTTGCATAAGATTTAATTTACTTATCAACTTACCTGCTAGTCTCTGGTCTCATATCAAAATAGTTACATGATGAAAGTCTAGACATTATTCCTGCTCTTAGTAAAGCATGAGCTCCAGCAGTAGATTCAGCTATCCTGGTCAATAGACTCTGAATTAAAAACGTAGAAACATGAACCATAATGTTGAGTTATACCTTCACTCTAGAAACTTATTAACTTTGATGATTACGAAACAGTTTAAAACGAAGGATATATGACAAGAGCAATTATTTGGCCCCTGAAATTGTAATCATTTAAAATTGATCAACCCTTTCAAATCATGTTCATTCTATTAATAAACAAATAGGATCCAGTTATCTGGTCACTACAGTGCCAAAATGTGCTGAAATGGCATATATCAGCGGCTATCACTATAACATCACAAACCTTTTAAAATTGTCATATTTGACCTAAAATGGTAATTTTTCACTTTAAAATGAGCAAAAGCCTTTTCCAAAATGATATTTTATCTACAATAACATCTTTGCAAAATGTCTTTTTGGGTAAAGACTTTTCCTCATATTTAAATATTGATAACAAAATCTTAATACGACTATTTTAAAGTTTATAATTAAAAAGAAAATATCAAAATTAAAGACAACAACACTCATAGATTACCGCATAGTAATGCTTTTAATGGTCAACATGTTTTGTCAAATAGATCAGCATCACCAGGACAATATTACATATGAGAATTAACAGTGCAGTATAAATCATGTGATTATGCAGTTAACCGGAAGTCATGTTATAATAATAGTAGTTGCCTTGACTCTTACTTTCTCAAAGACAACAGTGAATACCTCTGTGGTATCCACTCTTCGTTACCCTACCACAGGATCACTACTTCAGGTGTTGGTTCACTAATACAATGAAAGAACCTTAATGAGCGCTCTCACATACCCCACGTCCCCACATTGTCATGGGAGAAATAAAATAAGTGTAAGAAAAAAAAATTGAATCATAATTTCCTGTCAATATGCACATCTACATAGTATGTCCTTATTATCTACACAGTTTCATGAAATTCTGTTGTGTGGTTTTAGAGGAGTTGCGATGACAAAAGGTTGCAGTAGTATATTGGGCAAATAAGTTCAAAGGGGCGTAACTCCTGGAAAAAAAATTTAATCGTAATTTCCTGTCGATATGCACATCTACATAGTATGTCCTTATTATCTGAAAAGGTTTCATGAAATTCTGTTGTGTGGTTTGAGAGGAGTTGCGATGACAAAAGGTTGCAGTAGTATATTGGGCAAATAAGTTCAAAGGGGCTTAACTCCTGGAAAAAAAATTGAATCGTAATTTCCTGTCGATATGCACATCTACGTAGTATGTCCTTATTATCTGAAAAGGTTTCATGAAATTCTGTTGTGTGGTTTGAGAGGAGTTGCGATGACAAAATGTTGCAGTAGTACATTAAAGTAAATAAGTTCAAAGGGGCGTAACTCCTAGAAAAAGAATTGAATCGTAATTTCCTGTCGATATGCACAACTACATAGTATGTCCTTATTATCTAAAAAGGTTTCGTGAAATTCTGTTGTGTGGTTTGAGAAGAGTTTCGATGACATGAAACAGGACTGACGGACTGACAATCTTACAAGCTTTTTGTAGAGACTAAACAATTTGTATTTTTATGATTTGACATTATGCACGTCTTTCAACATAGCTAAATATATGTAGATGTGCACAAAACTTTCACTGTATATATCATCAGATGAAGTATTCACTGGAAAAAGTAAAATCTATGGAAACGTCACCATGCGACGTCCACAAAAAGTCATCTTTTAAAATTAGCAAATAAAATTTGTTACAAGCATCCATTTCTTAAATAAACTGTTAACACAGAGATATGACTCGCCTTTTTGTAATTTTGATAATGCAAATGTTGAAATTAAAAGAGCAATACTTTAACATGTAAGTTATGCAAATATTCAAAGTCAATGAACCATGACTGACTGTACATGGCTAAACAATCTCCATGGAAATGAGCTGTGCCAATGCTAATACAACTGCATACCAAATACCATTGACTTATCATAAGACGTTCCCTTTAAACCAACTTAAACTCAAACATTAACATGTAAACTAAGCAAAAGTTTCAAAGTCAATTGACCATGACTGAGGGGGCGGGGCCAAATATTTTACATGGAAATGAGATGTGCCAATGCTTATACAACTGCATACCAATTAACATTAGCCTACCACTAATGGTTCTCCTTGAACTGACCTAATCACAAACTAATACATATAAACTAAGCAAAAGTTTCAAAGTCAATAGACCATGACTGAGGGGGCTGAGCCATATAATCTCCATGGAAATGAGATATGCCAATGCTTATACAACTGCATACCAAATATCATTGACCTACCACTAGTGGTTCCCCATAAACTGACCTAATCACATACTAATACATTGTTGACACTGCCACGGAAACAGCATACCTATGTCTCGCTTTTTGACTCCGTCAAGGCGAGACAAAAATGAAAAGTAAGCATGGACTAATGTCAAATTGTTCTAAATATTTTAAGAAATAAAACAAAACATCTGTTATTCGATTTTTAAGAATGTGAATTTAAGCATGGATGCAATTTGGGTACTCCTCATTACAGAATCATGGATCCTTTGGAGGTCGGTTCAAACCCATTTTCTATGATTCAATATGGATTCAAAATTAAATTGGTGGAACTATATAGTAAATAAGGATACATCTGCAAAATAAACCCAGAATGGAAACTTTTGTCTGGATCATAAATTTACGTAGGTGAAAAAACTGTCAAAATAGGTGCAATTTGGGTACCCACACGTTATAGCTGTTATAAAAGAATATTGCTATTGCTGTTATGAAAGAATATTACTATAGCTGTTATGAAAGAATATTACTATAGCTGTTATGAAAAAATATTACTATTGCTGTTATGAAAAAATATCACTATAGCTATTATAAAAGAATATTACTATTACTGTTATGAAAGAATATTACTATAGCTGTTATGAAAGAATATTACTATAGCTGTTATGAAAAAATACTTCAAGCTGTTATGAAAGATTATTACTACAGCTGATATATTTGTTTAGCCGATATCAGAAAGATGGAGTCTACTGTACTAAAATTCAAGATTGCTTTTGTCCTAAGAGATTTGGCATCAATCACAGTGGCTTCTCTAATCATAAAATTTAAATCTGTATTTCATACCTGTCAACTGACTCGGATCCTGCAGGTGTGACCCGAGATTTCAATTCTGAGGGGTCACCCGGAACACCCGCCGGGTGATCAAATAACCCGGGAATTTCGGAAAATAACCCGTTTTCACCCAGATTCCTTAGCCTTCAGACTGATTAGATATCAAGTGATTTCAATGAAATACCGGCAAATTCGTAATTCTTCCTGGACAAGAGGTTCAACTAGCTGTGTAAACTCAGCTCAATTGACCCATTTCAGTGCTTGGCTTCACTTGACAGCTGTTAATTAACACCAATTACCTTAGCTTTAGGTCGTAAATAATTTGTGTATTTCAAAGTTGTTTTAAGAACAATTTGAGTTGCTTCCCCTTTTTTGTCAATTCACAATATACTCCTTAAACTTATGTTTTTTTTGTAAAAAGATTAAATCTAAAATGAATTGAATGCACAAACATATCAGAATAATACTTTCACTTATTGTTCTTCCTTAGAACAATAAAAAAATAAAAAATTTTGAAAATTACTTTTTTCATCTTTACCTCCTTTAATTGTTTAACTTTATTTTATTATACTCTAATAAAATCATATGATATATTATACTGTTTAAAAGCTGCTCAAATCTATGTAAAGAAAACACAAATTGGCACATTGTATGTCATGAAATGAATATGAACAGGAATTAAGGTAATGTAACAAAAATCTATCAATGGCCTCCAGGTGCAATGAAATAATAATATGTACAATTTCAAATTACTTTACCATGTGGACATGTTTTGGAAACTTTGATATAAATTATAAGAAAAATGTCCCCTAAATACTGAAATTCAGCTCTAAAAAGTTCGAACGCGTTATGACCTGAGATTTCATTCTTCTATGCAGGTCATCACCTGCATTTTCATTGTCATAGGTTGACAGGTATGTATTTGAGGATATTGGTAGAAAGAGAGTGAACAGAAGGTGATAAAATTAGATGTGGGAACCCAGTTTAAAGTAAAGAGGTTAATAGATAACTAGATGCTGTAAAACAGGAGCAATCAAAATCTAATCTACAATTTAGTTAACAATCTAAACATTTATTTTTAGACAAATTGAGAAGGGAAACCTGGTTTATAACTTCCAGTTATCTGTTCAGAGCATTTAATCCCTCTATTACAAGTGCACTGTCTTATGTTTCATCTTCAGGCATGAATGCACGTCTCCAAAGTTACCTATAAACCTTAATATTTTTTATGGAGAGACAATACATGGTTTAAGACACGGAGGGTTGTGAGGTAACTATGATTTCAATTGGGGCTATATCATGTAAAGGGTTTATGAATCATGTATAAAGGTTTTTGTGAAAGATATTCAGGTGAAAGCAAGCTAGTTGATTCAAGTACTGTTAGTTCTTTGTATGCAAACATAGTTAACATAGCAGATGCAGAAAGCATTGATGTAAGAGATTTTGTAAATTTTTGGAAACCCAATAAACTTCCCTCAACCTTTTATGAGATTCAAGAAAAATGTGTAATTTTACCTAGTATCTTTGATTAGGTTTTTTTTACCACTTATTGTAAATATTTTTATGCAATTTATATAGGTAATATTGAAATAGAGCATACACTGTATTTTCATTTTGGGAAAATGTTTAGATTGAAAGCGTTGAACATCTATTCAGTAGAGTGTTTTATAATTTGTTTTAATATAAAATAGGTTTTTCTTGCTGATTAGATATATTTTGTAATGTGGGTTGAATATTTTTCTATGATACTGTTTGTAGTTAAGATAAAAAAAAGAACAACACACTTGAGATGATACTCAATTATTTGAACATCAATATGCTTTGATTGCACTATTTTTTACGATTTTCCATACCAAATACTAAGCTTTGTTTATTTCTGTCTTGTTGAATAGAAACTGCCATAAGCTTAAGAGTAAGATTAACTAATACAA